GATATTGTTATTAACAATGTTGGTCAGAAAATAACAACATCATAATCAGGTCAAAATCTCTTTTTCTTCAATTAAATATCACATTGGTTCAAAATAACTGGAGAATAAACAATTTCTTTAACAGCCAAAAAACTTTCTTTTTCTCCAGTTAAATTTCACATTGGTTCAAAATAACTGGAGAATAAACAATTTCTTTAGCAGCGGAAAACGTATACTCATTTCTTGAATTTTACCCACAGGGAAAAATTACTTTTTCTATTTTCTTTAAGCCATTAATCAATTTCCAGAAAATAAACATTTACTAGAAAAAGAAAAACGAAAAATTATCATCGTTTCTTTTGGCTCGGCCAAAGAAAATAGCCCCCCCGACTTCTCTCCGTCTTGTATTGCCTTGCCGAGGCCACAACTGGGCTGGGCCAGCTAAGCCAGCTGGTGCGCTCGCTACCACACAGCCGCGAGTCGGCCCGATCAACCGGCGCCGTTCATTTCGATCCGACGACTGTGCGGTGAGATCGGCCGATCAAAAAGGGCGACGAGGGCCCTCCCCCGAAAACCCTCATTCATTCGCTGCCTTCCCTTTCTCTCTCTTCGCTCTCTCTTCTCAGCGCAGCATGCACAACCGAGCGAGCAACCGAGAGGACGCAGTGAGCGAGCGGGTAGCCATGGCGCCGTCGCCGGCCCCCTCGCCGGCGTGCGCGCTCCCATCGGGTGAGTGCGCCGCCGTCGAGCGGCCTAGCCGCGGCGCCCCCTTGGCCGAGCCCGGTGAGCAGCTGCCCCCGGCTCGGCCCTTCTTCTCCCGCGCCGGCGAAGGGTCATCCCGACGCACGGCGAGGTAGGTCCGTTCCCCTTTTCCCTTCTCCGATTTGGATTTCTTTTCTCTTCTTCCTTTTCTTCTTTGGATCTCTTTTGGTGCTCGGATTGAACCGATTTGGGATGGGGATGGAAGTTAGGGTTAGGGTTTTACTGTTTCTCTTCCCCGTTGAAGACTTTTACGGGTTTAGGGTTCGGCCTCGTGTGCCGAGGGCCCTTCCTTTTCTTCTTCTTTCTTTGGTTTTCCTTTCTTTTCTTCTCGGATTCAACCGATTTGGGGATCTAGGGTTAGGGTTTCTGTTCGATTCGGTTCATCTCATTTATTTGATTCTTTTCTTTCTTTTCTATTTGTACCGAATCATTCTCTTCCCTTCCTCGTCACGAGTTAGGGTTAGGGTTCTTTTCTCCGTTCCTTTCTCTTTTCCCCTTCTTTTCTTTTGGATCCTTTTCTCGATTTTTCTTCTCGTGATCTGAACGGAGGACTATTCTTTTTGGCAACTTTCCCCGTGCAAGCGCGGTGGTGACTAGGAGTTTAGGGACATCCGCCACCCCCGATCTTTTTTTTTTTCTTTTTTTACCTGATTAGGGTTAGGGTTTCAATCAAAACGGATTTAACCCTTGTTCTTTATTTTCTATGCTCTTCCCCATACTGTAAACTGGCTCCGATACTGTTGTTAGAATCATAGTGTACCTCAGAATCAGAGATCCGGGGTAAGCCTCCTCGCCTTTGCATAGTTGCACCGCAGCGGGGTAGACGCCGGTGCCGTGGGGTTGTTGGCATCGTGGTGGCGATCCAGTGGACCGGTGGTGACGCTGCAAGGGCGATGGCGGTGCAGTGGGGCATCCCGTCGCTGGCGGCACTCCTTTAGATCGGATTAGGTTTCTCTGTGGGTGGGATTGCGGCGGCTCCCGATCCAACCGTTAGTTGAGCCCAGTTCCCCACTCCTCTATCTATAGTGTTGTGCGACAGGGGCTCACCAACCACATTAGGGTTGGTCGCCCCCGATCAGGGCGCAGATCTAAGGGCCCAATAGGCCGTTGGGCCTATTGGTGGAGATCAACTAACAGGTCGGCCCCGTGGTGGAGCCCTCCGAGCTCGCCGTCAGACAGAACGCCGAGGGCCTCGCGCGGTACGCGCTGATCTGCCAGGAGTTCGGGCTCGTGCCCATTGTCAAGCCCGAGATCCTCACCGACGGCGGCCACGACATCAAGACCTGCGCCGCCGCCACGGGGCGCGTCCTCGCCGCCGTCTACAAGTCGCTCACCGACCACAAGTGTGTTTGTGTACTAAATTCTCTTCCCTTCGTCCGGCTCCTATTTGAGCCAAAAAAACACGTTGTTCTATTGCAACTCGCAATGTACAGTAGTATTACTGGAAGATAAGTGCAATATATGGATGTGACCATCTTACTGAAGCTTTGATTCATGGGCTCATTTAGCCATCCCATCCATCTGATTTCTAATCCTTGTAAGCAGAATCAGTTCTCTTTCCATTGACTTGAGCATTCTCTTGTGAGTTCTCAGCATGCACAGCATACTAGCCATCCCAAGAATCTGATTGCTTTAGCATCAGAAATTGCCCACTCATGTTGGAGCTAGATTACCCTAGGAGTTTTGTGCAGCAGAATTCGGGGCCTTCTTCTGTTGCATTGTTCCAAGAATCATTATGTGCATCATTTTTCTGGATTGTCACATTACTCCATGAATGCTGCTGTGAATCAGGATCATTTATAGCTACTAGTTTTTCCCATGAACCATCTTGAGTATTGTTATTTTGCGAGTTGCACTGTTAACCCAGGAATCCTATAGTGCATCAGTGCCCCTTCTACCTTTTCAGTTTCATTATTAGGTAGCTATTTCAATGCTTCACCTCCCATTATTGGTATGTATTTCAGTGTTTTGGTGATTTCTTCTTTTTTCAGTTTTATTAGTGGTTCAGTTTCATCATTTTGCTTTGAGTTTTCTTTTTAGTTTGATTTCAGTTTTTAGTTATTTTTTCAGTTTTTTTAGTTTAGTTTTCGGTTTAGTTTTTTTAATTTTTTTAGTTTCAGTTTTCCGTCACCTTTTCATGTACGAATGTCATTCTAAATCCTGTTGTTAGTTGCATCACCTACAATGTATAAGTTGTTACAAAAGGATAGCAACTGCATAGATAAGTTGACACAAAAGAATTTAACCCTAGTTTAAGTTTTCAGTCAAGTTTTTTTTTAGTTCCAGTTATCAGTCATGTTTTTTAATATCTTTTTATTTTTAGTTTTCAATCAATTATTTTTTTTAGTTTTTTTAGTTTGTTTTCAGTCAAGTTTTTTTTAGTTTCAGATTTCAGTTCGAATGAATTCCTAAATCCTATATATTAGTTGCCTCACCTACAATGTATAAGTTATTATAAAAAAGTAGCCATTGCACACATAAGTTGCCACAAAAGAATTTGCTCCCATTCTTAGTTTTCAGTCAAGTTTTTTTCATATTTTTTTTTGTTTTAGTTTTCAGTATTATTTTTTAATGTTTTTTTAGTTTCAGGATTCACTCACCCTTTTAGATTCGAATGTATTCATAAATCCTACATATTAGTTGTATAATAACTTACTCTCTAAGTTAGCACCTTATACAATGCTTCTTCTAATAATTTGTCTCTTAGGGTGCCACTTATCTTATTTTGTGTTGCTACTCTTGTTTTTTAATAAATGTCCCTCTAATTTTAACTAGTCATGTTTCTCGGCTTATATAGTGGGTTTTATAATAACTTACCCCTCTAGTTGGCAATTTATGCAATGTTTGTTCTAATAATTTGCCTCAGGTTGCAGCTTGTTTTTTATCACTACCCTCATGTTTCCCGACTTATATAGTGAGTTTTACAATAACTTGTTCATCTAGTTAGCAGCTTATACAATGCTTGTTCTAATAATTTGTCCCCAGCTTGCCACTTGTCTTATTTTATATCGCATTATCGCTACCCTTATATTTTAATAAATCCTCAAGTTGGCAGCAAGTCAGGTTTCCTGGCTTTTTGTAATGTGTTTTATAATAACTTGCCCCCCTAATTAGCAGCTTATGCCATGTTTATTTTAATAAGTTCCCCCGAGGTTACAGCTTGTCTTGTCCGTTACTTTCTTTAAGGATTAGTACCTTTATATAAATACTATATAACAAATTTATTATATTCCCATGGTAGCAATCGATGTGCATACCACGTAAAAACTTTAGTTTATTTTTGAAGTAGCAAGTTTAGTTTACATGGTAGCAACTTCTTTCATAAATCTCCTAGCATATTTTTACAGATATATTGCTACTAAATTAAAATTTCTTTGAAACATAGTCAAGAGGTTTAGTTTTGTTTGCCTCGTCACATAGAACATACCAATGCATACGGATTTGAAAACGGATACACATTTTAAAAGTTATAGCTTTTTTAAAAAATGTTAGTTTTTTTGAAAACGTGCAAGTGACTGCTGGAGCATCAGCCGTAATCACTCTTTTGCAAACGCTGGGCTCGCGGCCGGAGACGGAGTAGGGTCGCGCTCTTGACGTTTGGGCGACCCGTCGCGGCTTATTGCAGTCCATGGAGAATTGGAGACGATGCAAGCTATAGAAACCATGTAAAAACTTTTGTATATTTTCGAAGTAGCAGTTTTAGAATTATATGGTAGTAACTCTTATATAAATCTCGTAGCACACATTTACACATAAATTGTTACTAAAATAAAATTCTTCGAAACATATGCAAGTGGGTCTAGTTTTGTTCGTCTCATCACGTAGAATACACCGGTGCAAACGAAATTGAAAACAGATACAACATTCAAAAGTTATAGCAATTCAAAGAAAATGTTTTCGTTTTTTTTTTTGGTTTGCGTCAGCAGCATGACATGCAGAGTAGCAGGGCTGGTCGGACGCCATTTAAAGTGTAAATTCGTTGTGGCCAGCTCGTAAGGTTAGCATGTCCATGGTAGCAAAAAAAATTTACCCGTCTGATTCGTGATCTGCGGTTCTTGTGCCGTTTTGCCCGTCTGCCCAAAACCGTTGTTCAGCGAACCGGCTGTGCGGTCAGCGGCTAGTCCGTTGTCGTCGCCAGATTGGGTGCCTCAGGCCGCTGTCGTGTGCTCATTGGCGAGAAGGCGCTGGGTCCATCTGCCGGTTGCCTGCGCGCGCCTGCCGCTGCAGTTGCTGCTACGCTGCGAGTCGGCCCCCACGGCATGGCCTCCGCACGTCAGTTGGGCCTCCACGGTACGGACCTTGCACGGGGCTCTTTTTTCGTTGTCGTCTGCTTATTGGCTTAGCACTAGGTGATCCACTGGTCAGCTTCTTAGATCATGTGCCGGGTTTCTCGGTACTTTTGGGCTGGGTTCGGTGGGACTGGGAATATGCAGCGGCGCTTGCGATTGTCGACCCTGTGCCACTGCCGGTGGGGCCGGCTTCCTTCGCATGCAGCGTCTCCTGCTTCCTCCTCCTTCGCACGGCTCCGAACTCCACAGCGTCTCCCAGCCCGCTCCGAAGGGACGAACGGCGACGATAAAAGAGCTCCTCAGCCTCCATTCTTGATTTCCGCTCCGAACTCTGCCGTTTGCCTCAGGTGTGGGACTCGCCGTCTTTCCCTTTCCTCCTCCTCCTCTATTCTACCGGCGGAACCATCTAATCCGGTGGGTACCCGGCGCCGCCGCTGTGCCGTGTGGTGCCGCCGCACTGCGTATGATTTGCAGGTGCTTGGGGCCAGATCCAGATCCACCGGCGGGGTGCTGATGAGGCAGAGCGCAGCGGCACTGGGAGCGGGCTGCTGACGAGGTCTTGGGGCGTGCGGCTGCCAGGTGGGAGCGCCACCGGCGACTGGGCGACAACAGGCTGCGTCCTCGGTGTGTTGGTATACCCCTTTTCCGCACTCTCGCCTGTACCTTTCTTCCTTGATTCGTTTGTCGCTTTCAATGGCCGAAATGCTTACATGTTGCGCCGTGTGGTCTTGTGGTCGGTGTGTTTTCTTTTTTTCCTCCTTTCCGATTCTTGTTTGCTGTTTCCCGTGCTCGGGTTCACAGAGGGAAGACGGATCAATATTCGTTGTGGGTGCGTCCTACCTGTCGCTGCTGCAGGGTGTGGTGGTCCGGTGTGGCTTGCCGTATGCAGCAATGGTTACTGAGTTTACTGGAGATGGAACGCCACTGTACGGCGTCGAGCTAGATTTACCTTGTGTTGGCCCGGTCCGGCGCTGTCGTAGCTTTTTCTTCTGGGCGTCCATGGAAGATTGTTGCGCTTCTGGTTATGAGCAGGCTGCCCTGCAGGCCATAGGTTTCCTGCAGAAGATGTACGGGTTCTTTTGGAGCTTGCCATAGGCCATAGAGCTCTTTTGGAGCTTTCCTTTTCTTAACAGCCAGGTGCTGCAGTTTGTCACATGATCGGCCTTCTCTGACGTTTGCTGTAGTTGGTCCCAGATGGCGAGTCGTCGTGCACGTCCTGCATCTCGCCTTGTTCCTGGAGAGTCGTGTATGTGTCTGTGCTGCTCTTTTGGTAATCTTCACGGTTATAGCCCATTGGTCAGACCATTGAAGCATCTCTTATTTGTTTCGTTGCTTTTGACCTCCCTAGCTTCTTCACGGATAACTGCCCTTCGAGCTCTGCTCCCCGCAAGAGACAGTGTACGTGTTTCTTGCCGTGCTTCCCGTGTTCTATTTAGTCTACAGTCATGTTGGTCTTGGATACTTAAGTGTCACTTTCCTATAGCGGAGGGTGCATACTATATACCCAGCACGCTCCCAGCTGCTGAGTGTCGGAATAAGCGGAGGAAGTATTTAAACCAGAAGAAGATTGCCAGTCAGGTGTTCACTCTTTGGGTCGCCATCCTACCTGGTTTCTCTTTAGATACACCCGTACTGATGTGCCTGCTATGTTGGCCTGGTTTTGCTTTATTAGGCCCTTTAGATGGCGCTGGTGCATCCGGGTGTGGTCACTTCACCCAAGAGTATATTGATGCGCTTAAAGGTTTGGCTTAAATTTTTTTGCTAGGTTCACTGTTGTTTTTCTAGGTTACTAAATGCCATCCTCTCGCTGATTTTGTGTCTATTTTCATGTCCTTCGTGCTCGCGGATGCTTTGGGGTGGCCCACGCCTGTGCCTAGATTCCTATGTCGGTCGTTCGTCTTATGGGGCGCCAGATTATACGTGTAGACACTGTGGTGCCATGTTTTTGGTTGCGTGAGTGTGCTGCTGCTCAGTCCAGTTTAAGAGATGGCAGGGTCATCTACAATTCATGTTGTAGGGGTGGCAAAGTAGTAATACCTCCTTTTAGAGACCCTCCTGAACCCATTGCTTCGCTGGCCAGATTTGATGGTGATGCTAATTGTAGACAGTTCATAAAGAATATATGCCAGTACAATTGCCTGTTTGCTTTCACATCCATGGGTGCAAACATTGATAGATCTATGAATAATGGTAGTGGCCCTCCTGTGTTCAAAGTGTCTGGCCAGGTTCATCATCGTATAGGACCTCTTCTTCCAGCCAATGGCAACTCACCGAAATTCTTGCAGCTCTATATATATGATACAGCGAACGAGGTGAAGAATAGGTTCCGTGCGCTGCACCCAGATGAACGCTCGTCTGAGTCTCTCGACCCAAAGATAGCTGAACGTTTGGTCAAGATGCTAGATGACCACAACCCATTGGCTAGACAGTTTAGGCTGGCAAGAGATAGATTGGCAGAAAATGGTGATGAAGAGTTCATAGTAAGACTTATTGGTGCAAGGGAGGGGATCCAGTTCAGTATAATCTTCCTACTGTTGACCAGCTTGCCATGCTTGTTGTGGGTGATTTTACGCTAGATACTTTTCAGCGTGATATTGTGGTGCAGCCTAGATCCGGACATTTAGAGCATATTTCTTCTTTGCATCCTGCTTTCATGGCCCTACAGTACCCCCTGCTCTTTCCTTATGGTGAGCGTGGTTTCCAGGTCGGTGTGCCTTATAGTGGGGTAGATACATCGGGCGAGAACAAGCGTGCCAAAGTAACGATGCAAGATTACTACCGCCATTGTTTCCACTATAGAAAAGGCCAGTCGAATCCGTTCTTGTGCTATGGTGCCTTGTCCACTTAGGCCAAGGTTGATGCACGTGCATGTATCGATGAAAATAGACTCTGGTATGTGCTCAAGAATCAGGGAAAGCTGCGTGTAGAGACTCTTCAGGGCATAGTCGATGTGGTTGATAAAGGATGTGTAGATGGAGGCGAGATTGGAAAAAAAACTGTGCTGCCGGCCTCCCATACTGGTGGCCGGCGGTATATGATCCAAAATTATCATGATGGAATTGCTATCTGTAGAGTTCATGGCCCGCCTGATTTCTTTGTGACATTCACCTGTAATCCAAAGTGGCCAGAGATTGCTGCGGCGCTGTCATTTGAACCTGGCCAGAAATCAACTGATAGAGCAGATATAGTGGTTAGGGTCTACAATATGAAGCTTGAGGAGCTTCTAGGTGATATACGAGATGGCACCGCCTTTGGGCCTGTCAGTGCTGGTACGTTGTGCTGTTGGGTACATTTTCCTTTCTTTTTTGGCCACGGTTAGATATCTTTTTTTTTATGACTGTTCTTCTCATTTGTTTGTTTAGTGCTGCACACTGTGGAATTCCAGAAGCGTGGCCTCCCACATGCTCATATAATTGTTTGGCTCAAACAAGATACCTCACACCCAACGCCTGCATTCATAGATAAATTCATAAGTGCTGAGGTTCCTGACCCACATACAGACCCTCTTGGATATGTACTGGTGGCTGAGCATTTGGTGCATGGTCCCTGTGGCGCAAGCCACCCCACCTGTCCATGTATGAAAAAAGATAAATGTTCAAAACGGTTTCCAAAAAAATACCAAACTGAAACGGTAATTGATGATAATGGCTTCGCTCTGTATAGGAGATCTGACAACAAGAGATATGTTGAAAAAGGTGGCAAAAGGCTAGATAGCAGTTCCATTGTTCCATACAATATGACCTTGCTTAAAAAGTACCATGCCCATATCAATGTGGAGTGGTGTAACAAGGGCATTTTCATTAAATACCTATTCAAATATGTTACTAAAGGTCCTGACCGTGGCAAGGTTTATATACAGAGAATACGGAGCGGTGAACCAGCGCCCTATGATGAACAAACCAAAACGATTAATGAGGTTCAGGAGTACCTAGATTGTAGATATATATGCGAGCAGGATGCCTGTTGGCGAATTTTTGGTTTCGATATACATAGACACTACCCGGCTGTAGAAAGGTTGCCTGTGCATCTTCCAAATGACAATTGCATTGTTTATGATGAATCCACTGATATAACTGATGTTGCCAGATTAGAATTTCTTCGTAAAACAATGTTAACTGAATGGTTTGTGGCCAACCAACAAAGCGATGCTGGTAGAGACCTCACATATTGTGAGTTCCCTTCGCGTTGGAAATGGGATAGCTCTTCTAGATTCTGGGATCAGAGGCGACGTGGTTCTGGTAAGATAGGGAGGTTATACTATGTACACCCTTCAGTTGGTGAGAGATATTTCCTTAGAATGTTGCTCCTCATGGTCAAAGGCGCTAGAAGTTTCGAAGAGGTTAGAACATACAACGGCGTTGTCTACTCTACGTTTAGATTGGCGTGTAATGCTCGTGGCCTACTTGGTGATGATCAGGAATGGTATAGTGCCTTTGACGAGGCCGCTGCTTGGGCAACATCACCACAGCTTAGAAAACTGTTTGTTACTATGCTGTTGTTTTGTGAGGTCAAGGATGAACGTGCCTTCTTTGAAAAAGTTTGGAGAGTCCTAGCTGACGATATACAGTACCGTCTTAGAGACAATATGGGTAATCCTGAATTCCATGTGTGTGATGAGGACCTTAGAAACTATCTGCTTGATGATATTCATGCTCTTTTCCAGAGAAACGGGGCTAAAATGCGGGAACATGCTTTGCCTGAGAAAACTAAAAACTTTGAAGATATTCCTGGTAATAGACTCATCGAAGAGGCCCTGTCATATGATAGTCATCAGGCAATGCGTGACGCTGAAAATTTGGTTGGCAAGCTAAACACAGAACAGCTTAATGCATTTACTGTAATCACCAAAGCTGCTTTAGATAATGAACCAGGGTTTTTCTTTGTATCTGGCTACGGGGGGACTGGAAAAACTTTTCTGTGGCAATCCATAGTTGCTTATATGCGATCTCAACAAAAGATTGTGCTATCTGTTGCTTCATCCGGAGTCGCTTCATTGTTGTTGCCTACTTGGGTAGGACTGCTCATTCACGATTCAAGCTGCCATGTGATCTAGATGAAGCTTCGGTCTGTGATATAAAACGTGGCTCTAAGTTGTGCGAGTTGATTGAATCTGCATCTCTTATCATTTGGGATGAGGCTCTAATGACACATAGGCATGCATTTGAAGCTCTAGATAGAACATTTAGAGACATCTTGTCACACCGCACAGAAGGTGCTGCGAATTTAGTTTTCGGTGGCAAGATTGTTGTTCTAGGTGGTGATCTCCGCCAAATTCTGCCTGTGGTTCCAGGTGGTGATAGACCCTAGATTGTCAATGCTGCGATAGTAAACTCTTCTCTATGGAAACATGTTAAGATTTTGTCACTTACTACAATATGAGGCTCAATAGACAAGACCTGGGCAGCGAGTTGCAGAAAGAGATTGCTGAGTTTAGCAAATGGGTGCTAGATATTGGTGAGGGCAAGATTGAGAGTTTAGGCACTAGTAGTGAGACCCAGGGAACACGAATTAAAATTCCGCGTGAGCTGCTGCTCATGCCACAAGAAGATAAGGCCGCCTTTATGGTTAGTTCCATCTACCCAGGTCTAGGTGCCAAGTATGCTGATGCATACTACCTCCAGGCGCGGGCCATCTTGACCCCAACAAACGAAGCTGCAGATACTATTAACTCATACGTGGTGTCCCTGATACCTGGGGAAGAGAAGGAGTACCTAAGCTGTGATAGAATTGCTAAATCCCCAGATACCCATGACTCTTTTAATCTGTTGTATCCTACTGAATTTCTAAATTCAATAAATGGAAACAATTTCCCACAGCACCGCCTCTGTCTTAAAAAAGGTGTGCCAATAATGATGCTTAGAAACCTTGATCAAGCAGGTGGTCTATGTAACGGCACAAGACTGATTGTCACAAATATAGGTGAGATGTTAATAGAAGCAAAGATAATGACCGGCACACATATTGGTGACATAGTACACATACCAAGAATTTGTCTAACACTTAAAAATATGAGACTGCCATTTACTTTGGAAAGACCCCAGTTCCCAGTCAAAGTCTGTTATGCCATGACCATTAACAAGAGTCAAGGCCAAACCTTAGAACATGTTGGCGTATACTTAAAAGGTCCTGTTTTCAGTCATGGCCAGCTATATGTTGCTGTTTCATGCGTCACTTCAAAGCGAGGCCTTAAGATACTCATAGAAGGTGCAGATGGTGGTTGTACAGATGAGACACAGAATATTGTTTACCAAGAAATACTCTCCGCGGCGTATCGAGCCGCGGACAAATCTTAGTTCCCTTTCTTTTGCTGTGTTAGGACACCTTTTGCATTGAGTGTCCACACTGGTTTTGGGTCATTTTGCTTCGGTGTGTTCTGACAGCTTTCGTATTGGCTGTAACCATGATTTTACAGTTAGCTTCACTGAAGTGTGTGTCCAACGGGGACAGTCCACCTAAATAACCAGCAAGCACCATCCATCTAATAATGGTGTTAGTGTTTAGACTCTTTTGTGTGTTTTTCCCTATTTTGCGTGTGTTTTATCACTGAATGTTCACAGAACTCTGTGCACTATCGGTTTACATACAGCCTATAAAATGGATTCCTAGATGTTCTCAGTTTTTGTGCTTGTTTTTTTTATCTTTCCTTAGTTTCATTACAAGATTATAACCTGCTGCTTCTGTTTACTGATAAAATGATTCTCTGTAGCTTCGAACGATGGCTTTTTCGATGCTGCCCGCCTTGCGCCCTAATGACTGGCGTGCGGTCATCTGTGTCCGTGTCTGCCGCAAGTGGGAGTATCGTGGTGGGACCAATGACGGTCCGGTACAGCACGTGGACCTTGTGCTTCTTGATGAACAGGTTGGTCAGTCTATCATTGGTGAAGGTCGGCTCCCAAGCAATTTTTACTGGTCCATGTATCTCTCCATTTATTTATGCTGGTTTCCTTTTTTCCACTATAGGGCAACAGTCTCTATGGTGAAATCCCTGGACCTGAGGTTCATGCAAAGAGCCCGCTCATAGATGAGGGGGCATCTATGTGATTGATCGATTTAGGGTCTCCAATGCGAAGGCAGCCTACAGGCCTGTTGACGCCCCCTACATGGTTAAGTTCACACTGCACACCACTGTGTCGGCTGCAAGAAGTGGCATGCCTGACTTCCCAAAATATGCGTACAAGATCACTCCTATAGATGGCCTTGCTGCTCATTCTGGTGACACTAAGAACTTCCATGGTGAGTTATACCTATATAAACTCTGTGATTTTAATTCAGTTTTCCTTTGTGAGTTCATATCTATACAGACTCTGTGATTTGAATTCAATGTTGTCTAATATAACTGTACTTTCCCTAATATTGTTGCAGATACCATTGGAACACTGGTGGAGGTATCTGACATCCACACTGTGCATCTGCCTAACAAACCTGCGCCCACGCTCTCCAGGCACATTGTTCTTAGGGACCTTAGGTGACACATTGTGCTCTCCATGCCTACCCTTTCCATGGCACGGCTACACATTTCCTAATTCTCTTACTTAAACCGTTGTGCTCTCAATTTCAGCTATTCTGAGATAAAGATCACTCTGTGGGCCCAAAGAGCCACTGCGTTCTCTACTGAGGGTGTCTACGACAGCAATGAAGCCAAGCCAATCGTTGTCCTGTTTGTCGGAGGACTGGTGAAATCTTTCCAAGGTATTAGCACTGTTCTATTTCTTCTGTGGTCCAGTACATGCTGAGTAGTAGTATGCACTCCTCTATTGATTCCCAAGAGTCTGAACATCATATCCATGAAATTCAGGCAGCTACTACCTAAGTGGCAATACAGCATGCCATTGGTATTTCAATCCAACGATTCCAGAGGCGCACCAGTTCTATGCGAGGTACATTCTGTTACCCAAATACAGCTCATGACCCTTCCTTTACTTGGCGCTTTGCCAACTTTACCTAATGTGTCGTCTCCACCCAGTTTCCACAACCAGAGGCTTGAGATAAGGTCAGTCGCAGCACCAGTGCGGCAGCAGATCCAAGTCTATGTACCAGCACAGCTTGATGAGAAGAACCTGAAACAGCTAAACGACATGAACCCATATGAATTCTCTGTAAGAAGCAACCTCATTTCATTCTGATTTTACCATGGCCACTTTTCCCTTCTACCCATTTTACATTCCTCTCCCCAACATTACAGGAAAATCGATACCGCTGCACTGTCACTATTGGACGCCTTGTTCCCAACACATCATGGTGGTTTCCATCTTGCAACAAATGCAGCAAGTCCTATGTGCCAGATGGTACTGGATATAGATGCATTCCATGCTCAAACACATCGTTCAAGTTCAAGTAAGTGCTTCTTCCACTGTTTGCTTGCTTCCCAATCTCATAGTAGGATACACCTACATACTGAATGCAAACTGACAACAGGTACAAGGTGTGTTTCATAGCCCTCGATGGCACTGATGAAGCTGAGATGGTTTGCTTTGGAGACATTGCTCGTCGTATGATTGGAAAGCTTGTCCAGCAGCTTCTGAGGACATCTACAAGTGCTAATGCATATCCACCTGATATAACAAAGCTGGTCTCTCCTAGATTCACTTTCGTAGTTACAATGACCCGTCAGAGCTACTACAGGGCCCAGAAGACCTACAATGTTGCATCTCTGGTGACAGCACATGGCCATCCTGTTGCTGTTCCGGCTAATGCTGCACGTGGTAATGCTGGAAACAAAGACCATGGCCATCTTGGTGCCGCTGAATCTGGTGATTCCTCGGGTACAAGTGATGGTGCAGATACACATCAGCTGTTGTCTGCTGGTACACTGGATGGCACTCTGTCTTCACCAGGCCTTTTTAAACATATGTTTCTTCTAACACCTAGATTTAGTGGCGCTGTTTCAAGGCTTTTGTGTGCGATGATCACAATCCTTGCTTCCTGCAGGCTCCACCGCCCAAGCTTGATGGCCTTGAAACACCGGCGTCGAAGAAACATTCTAGAAGGTAATATATTTGCTCTGTGCCTCTCCAACACATTCACCATATGTCTGTTCATCTGTGTTTGATTGCTCCTCATCCACAGTGGCCCATCCAAGAGCAGCAACCATCCTTCCTCTCGCCGTAGGCTTTTCAAAGAGGGTACTGGTGCTGACATTGCTGATCCAGACGGTGCAGGCGCAAGGTATGTAGTCATCATGCTCTTGTAGTCTAGGCCAACTGCTAGCTTTCAGAACATCTCATGGCTCAAATGTGATTCACTATTCCTTGTTGTTAGCCATTTCTTCATGATTTAGAAAAATCGTACCTACCTCCTTTTTTAAATGAACTTTATCATACATATAAAATCAAAGGCACCATTCAATTGTTACACAAGGCTAAACAATGTGATAATGCTGTACACCTCTCTTCAGAAGAACTAATTCTTTGCCTCTGATGCAAAGTCATCTCAACAAATATGGAAAAGATGAGATTATAACCCATGCCATCTCCTGTGTGCCTTCTTACAGCGCTGCGTCTGACAAGACTCAGGCTCCTGAAGAGGACCGCTCCTCTGGGGAACCTTCTACCGCTGAGGAGAGCGGCTAGATAAGGCATGCCCCCTAACTTCAAACCTGACTCTTCCCTGGAATCGATAGATTTTGCAAATTAAGAAAGATCCATTATTGTCCGCAGGTACATTCAACGGCTCCCATGCTTTTGGTTGGACTGGCTCACTAACACCTGTCGTCCAGAGAAGACTTCTGCCTATTTTTTTGGTGGCGTGGTATCCTCTGCAACGGAAATTAACCCGTCATTCTCTGTCTGTTAGCTTGGCCCCTGTATCGGCCCCCAGGCAGCAACAACTTCTTTTAATAGACCCTTGAATTGGGCATGAGTATGTAAACTCTTTAGTTTATTAGTGGCCCTCTCGCTGGCCTCGTGCATGTTCCCTGGTTATGTCGTGGTTCCACGGGCATGCACCTCGAAACAATTAGCGTCGCCGAATCGACAATAGGAAGGCTGTGTCCTTGCTTAGCTCCCTGGTCAAACTGATGTAGCCTAAATTTGGTGTCCTGTTTAGACTCTTTAGTGCAGCGAGAAACTGCTCCTATATGTTACTCTATCTGTTTCTGTGCTGAATTTGTTGTGGTCTCCAATATATAGCAACCTATATCATGATAGACAGTATCCTACATGAGCTAGGCGACGTTCTAGGCATCTGATCGAATATTGGCATGTTGAGCCTGCTAATGTATTGTCTTCCTCGTTTTTAGCTGTGATCTTCAAACAATACTGCAAAAAGCCAACATAAACATGTATTTTCATCCGTGCCAAACGGAATGCATTGTCCCTGCCGTGTACCAATTAAAAAAAAAGATTCATCCCTCCCGTGAATGCCTCCAGTATGGCTGCCAATCCACCGCTGCCCATTCTGGCAAACTGAACATCTATGTAGCCTCCTGTAATATTTAGTTCTTATCTGGACATCTGGTACCTACGTTGCCTCCCTGTTGTAAACTTTAGCTCATATCTGGACATCTAATATCTATATATATTGCGCTTTCTTGATGGATGCTGCTGTGGCTAGCTGATACAACTGATAGAACACATCTTTAGAGAAGACGATACCTACATAATGTTCGTTTATTTTATTCTGACCAGTGATTTTAGCTCATACTTAAGATGTGTTCAAACGTCTATTCCAAATTGGTTTCAAAATAAAAGACCAAAAAAAAACTATCCGTCCTGTTTTCGGCCCAAGGCCCACTCTCCCTCGGTCTTCCGTCCCGTTGTCACCCACCTACTGCTCGCGAGGCTGAGTCGTCCTCTGGCCGACAACCTTACCTGCCCAGCACGTATAATATATGCTCGCTGTTGTGTTCTTCATCATTTGTTTCTAAGAAAACAGTATCTCATCATCATTGATAATTACAGCTGTCAGTTAGGTGACTCAATTTTAGTTAGGCGCCTATAATATTTGTTATTTGTCAGCATTATGCCATTTCCCAGATAGATTTTTGGCCATTTCTCGCGCGCATGGGCGCGCGCAAATCACTAGTGCATCACTCAAGTGGAAGTGAGGAACACCCATGAGGCTCTCATTCGCGCGCACAGGCGTAGCACAGGCTGGGGGACCTGTGGTCGCGTGCTACGTCTGTGCGCGACGGGTCATGCCTTATCGACGTCCTTGGGGCCTTGTTGTCAAGACTTATTGGAGCATGACAGCATGTACATCTGTTACTCTTTGAATGTGTGCTAAGCTATTTGTCTATTTTATCCGTTGGCACGTTCTGTATGAAGCTTTATTAAGCACTAAAAAGGTAAATTAAAATGTTTAACTTTTGTTACTAAAACGGTATCACACTGCTACACCATTAGAAATCTTTACCACACCGAAGATGCCACCATATATAGGCACATATAAAGCCGCACGTCCCTATATGATGGCAGCTACGTCAAATCATAAACCTACATATCGGCACACAAGTGGATATTAAGGAAGAAAGGTGGCAATGCTGACTCCATTTTTGGATAATAATAGAAAAAAAAAATTCAGCTAGTTCTTTCCAAGAGGAATAGGCTATTACGGGCCAACTCTACAAAAACACCAACGCAACCAACTGCGGCCCATGCGGCCCTTGCTGCTTGTGCTGCAGCCATGCATGAAACTTACTCCCTTCATTTCAAATTATAAAACGGTTTACATTTTCTAGATATATTGTTTTTAGGAAAAATTGGCTAGTGAACACTGAAAAGTGGAGGTCGTTTGCTGGCACACACCCAAAGTGGAGCCATTTACTGGAAGACACTCTCGTTGCTGATAATTATGCTACTGGACACCGTGTTCCTTTATTTTATTCATTTGCAGCGGTTGAAGTGAGGATTTTTTTTTATTTTTAACACCTATTGTAAACTATTTCCAAATCTGACACCGATTTTTTTTATTTTCAAATCAAACACTTTTGGCCGCGCCTATTGCCACGGCGCGAGCAAACAACGCTGCCGCGCCGCGATGACGTGGCACTTCCCCGCGCCATGGCCGCTAACGTGGTAGAAGCTGCCGCGGCGCACATCTTGGCACGGCAGTGCCGCGCCGCGGCGCGGCGAACCCCAACATAGGACCGCGGCCCCGACTCCCTCTCCTCACTGTCTCTGTCACACTCGAGCGAAATGGATCGTGGGAGAGACGCGCCCACCGCCGCTGGCACCACCGAGGCCAGCACCCGCGCCTCTCCCCCCGCGACCACCCGCCTCCCTCTCTCCCAATTCCTCCCTCTCTAGGCAGCTCCAGGAGCGGTGCTCGTCGCCGGCGCAGCGGCCCCTTCCCCATCATCCTTGTCCTCGTCCCCATCATCGGCCAACACAATCGAAGATTAGACGGTGCGACCAGCTCATGTTCTGTGCTCATCTAACTTCTTTTCCTCATACCTTCCATAGGCCACCTCTGTGGCATGGTCCTCGCTGCATCCAATCCCTTCATGTATAAAATGCAACCAGTTAGCAACGTGGTTATATTACATTTAAAATCAGGTAACAAAAATAAAAAGGCTTTCAAGCACTCACTGGCACACAATGCAACAACATGGTCATTCAAGACCTGCATGTGTACTCTTATCTCCTCCCTTTGCCTTCTTCCTTGACCTCTCCTCTAACGCCCTCCGTCCCTCCAACCCCTATTTGTCAAGCCTAACATCGATCGGGTTATGAATACCGTGTTGTCTAACAAACTAATGCATCATATTTTTGTGCTGTTTAATGAATAGGTTGACGTAGTCAGTCCATATCCCTTCTTCCGTGCAATTACTTGCCTCCCCTTCAGTTCATCCAAGAACTTAGCTTCACCATCATAACATTTCCACCTACATTTCCTAGTGCTCTGTTTAAACAAAAAAATTATATCATATATGTCCTAGCAAAAGAAACAAAATACAATTTCATGTTTATCACAAAAATAACCAACCTCATCATAGTCAACCATATGGCCGCAATAATGGCATATTCCAAGCTTCGAAGGGACTAGACCGTAGTTAGATTTAACACCACATTCGTACATGACGGAAGGTGCTTTGTAAATTAATATTTCTTTCTTCTTTTTCTTTGCCTTTGGTGGCTCCGGCCATTGATTCTTAGGACCATAGAGCCACTCATTGAAACGACACTTCGCAAATCCATAACGCTACAAGAGAATACATTAGTACATGCATACATATAGAGATAAACATTTAAACAGCTACACTTTCCACTTACTTCGTGCTTGTTCGGACACACAAACTCCAACATATTCTCAGGGCTTATCACAGCTCGATCTCCGCATTTGCCCAGAGGAGGTTTCTCGAGTCATCTAACTATGGCTAGGTGCTTCTCCTTAGCCGTCATTGACGGGGGGTTAGGGGGTGGAACCAACCGCTCGAAGTGCTCATGTGGATGTCTCCCTCTACACCGATCATCGAAAAGGAGGTACCTAGGGTCAAACTTGTCTGCACCGTCGATCCACTAAAAGAAAAGGCACCTCTCATGGGCCTACACAACAAGATTCTAATAAAATATTAGTAGCCTACTTACACAAATGAAGAAAAAAAGATAGTGAAAATAATTACTTATATTAAAACGACTACATGTGTAGAAACAACGCGCCGCTGTGTCTGGATGTCTCGATTGAAACACGTCGGCCGGGAAACCATAGTCACAGTTATGGATAGGGAGGTCAGGAGGGACGGGGCATCTTTGCTAGACGCGTCGAGGTATAATTCTCTAGGACGACCCCGTTTTCGCCAAAACTCCTCCCGATACATGTCTTGCATCTAACAAAATGGTTGTAATTTAACAAACAAAAATCAAAACATCATAAATTAATGTCAATGAGAACCATTTGCATTACAACAAATAAAATATAACCTACACTTTGGTGCAAACTCTATCTTAGATGTAAACATGAAAACTATATAAAAACTATATTTTGGTCACTAAAAAATAAAATTTGGTACATCAACCGTGTATCCATATATTTATTAACATATAAAAGTTGAGATGCAAACTCAAACAAGCAAAATTCATATAAAATTGACCTTAGAATACATGGTAATCATAATTCTAACTAACCAATTAACCTTAACATTGGCAATCCTAATCCTAATCCTTCAATCCAACGTTCTAAAGAACTCATATTTTCCTCCATACCCTAACTACTCATTCAAATCATTCGATCCACCGTGGAGGATGAGGAGGAGCTTCATTACCTTGACAAGGCCGTGGAGGAGCTTCGGGGAAGGTAGGGAGGGGGCCGGCAAGGGAGGGAAAGTCGGCGGCTGGCCGTGGGAAAGCCGGGAGGCAATGGCGTGGGCGCCGCGAGCGGCATCACCTCGAGTCGAGCAGACAGACAGAGGAAGGGAGCCAGCGCCGCAATGGATAAGTAAAGCCTCGCCGCGCCATGATCAGTGGCGTGGCACCGCCGCGCCATGATGCACGGCTCGTTAGCCCCGCCACGTCAACGGTCGCCGCGGCCGTTGACCACCCCATGCCGCGCCGCCATGCATGGCGCGGCAGCGTGAATTTGCCGCGCCATGTAAACAGGCGCTTCCAAAAGTATTACTTTTGAAGAAAAAAACAATG